AAAAAGTTTATGAGATTCAGTGAACTAAATAAATACTCTGATGGTACGATCAAGTTGGTGAAGAGGGCATTAGACTCAAAGCTGATGAATAATGAAAAGGCTGTGGAATCCGAGCGAATGAACGTCAAAAAAAGATATCTGCTCGTCAATGCTATAAATCTGCTCGAGGAGAAAATTCAATACCGAAATGCTCTGAGAAGGTTTGAGAAGATTCTTGGACTGCGCAAAACGAAATTTACTAGAGTCCAAACTCGAATCCAAAGGGGGAGAATGTTGGGTTCAAGATTAGAGCTAAAGTGTTGTATTCAAGTTTCTCCATTTACTTAGCTTTATTGTAATTAGTTTAGTTTTATTTCCTTAGTATAAATAGTCTTTTCTTTGTAATTGTAATTACACACAATTGATTACGTCATTAATCAGAAAAGGTGATTTGACAGCAAAGTAATTCTCTCTCTCCAATCTATCTTACATTCATCTTTGTTCTTGAGATTTGATGAAGATTGCTTCAAGATTCGTATGAAATCTGGACTTTTCAGGGTACTACCGGAAGTTTATTCAGGATTTCTCAAAGATTTCAGTACCATTGACGAAGTTGACTCAAAAAAACATTATGTTTCAGTAGGAAGAAGATCAACAGAAGACTTTTCAGATATTGAAAGATCATATGTGCAGCACTCCAGTTCTGTCTTTGCTAGAAGGATCAGAAGATTTCATGGTCTACAGTGATGCTTCATAGTTGAGTTTGGGTTGTGTTCTAATGCAGAGGGGAAAAGTAATTGCTTATGCATCCAGACAGCTGAAAGAACATGAGAAAYAGTATCCAACACATGACATGGAGCTTGCAGCCGTAGTTTTTGCTCTAAAGATTTGGAGGCACTATTTGTTGGGGACTAAGTGTCAGATCTTTACAAATCATAAAAGTCTCCAACATTTATTCAATCAAAAAGAGCAAAACATGCGGCAACGACGATGGATTGAGCTGGTAAAGGATTATGATTGTGAAATCATTTACCATCCGGGAAAAGCTAATGTAGTAGTAGATGCTTTGAGTAGAAAAGAGAAAGGTGGTACAATCAGGGCTATAGCTATGAGAATGAATCTGTTGCCAAATCTCCACAGTAGGATTGCAAAGTGTCAGGGTGTTAGGACTGAAAGTCAGTGTAAAATTGTATTCGTCTTGAAAGTTACTATTGTCTATAATTAAAATACACATCGTGTTTGACTTTGACTAGAACTTTATTGTTTGACCCTATAAATAGGGTGTTAGTCTTGTAATTGTGTAAGGATGCTTATTGTAAATCAGAATACGTATGAAAGAGAGTTTGACTAGACTTTGAATGTATCTCTCTTCTCCATCTCTATGATATTCATATAGATATTATCAGATCTGCCATTGTTATGAAGAGTTTATATGGAGATTGATTGATTGTGGACAAACAATTGGTATCAGAGCAGATTGTGCACGAAATCTAGAGAAGAAATCAACGTTTTTTTGAAGATTGTTTGAAGAAATTTTCTGGAATTTGACTTCTGTTCATAGAGTGTTCATAATGTTCTTCATTTTTTCTAGTCTATTTGATCTGAAATTTCTTCAAAATCTTTGTGTTTTGGTGTTAAAAATGTGATCAAAATGTGTGTTTTGCATCGTAAATGTTAGGACTGAAAGTCAGTGTAATATTGTATTCGTCTTGAAAGTTACTATTGTCTATAATTAAAATAGACATTGTGTTTGACTTTGTATGTAAGATTTGACTTTGACTAGACTTTTATTGTTTGACCCTATAAATAGGGTATTAGTCTTGTAATCTTTGGTAGGAGCTTAATTGTAAATTCAGAATACGTAATAGAGAGTTTGACTAAACTTTGATCATTGACTTTTTCTCTCTACTTCTCCTACTTGTTCTTGAGTGAAAACCTTTTCTGCCATTGTTGATTGAAGGTTTATTGAAGATTGATCATTGTAGGGGACTCTCAGTAAATCTTTGTTATTCACAAGTTTTTGTATTTTGATCATCTGATTTCCAGATTTGTTTGAATTTTGTGTTTTTTTCTCTAAATCGCTCAAAGTGCAAAGGCCCAACCGGATTAGAGCCCTTCCGTATTAGCCCATCTAATTTACACATCATTGACCATCCTTCATCAAAATCTCTTCATCGCACACAGATTAAGAAGAGGGATTTTATTGCAAAAGAGTTGAGTAGATTATATTGTACATCGGTCACAGCTTGATCGATTTAGTGTCTTAATCGCACAAATCAGAAGGGATTATTGAGC